ATATTATTCCTGAAACTCCGTATGTCCTCTTTTCTAAGGTTTAATTACAGCTGGTATTTTTCCAGGCTCTTAAGCCATGCCTTGTACTCTTCTTATTCCACAGGTGGTGGATGCCAGGCTGGTATCTGTTTTTGATGCAAGAGAACTGGAATTGGTCATCGCAGGCACAGCTGAAATAGACCTAAGTGATTGGAGAAACAACACAGAATATAGAGGAGGTGAAATTTGATTTATAGATGGCTAGATTTTAAATTTCAAATTAAAGGAAGGCATGGCTCAGCTTGCCAACAGAACATAGGACAGGCAAAATCACTTGTGCTGTAATCATAGTTCTGATGTGGACTCCCTTGAGACCTTAGGCAAGGAACATTCTCTTCTTTTCTAAGTTACTTCATCTGTCAGATGGGAGAAGGACTGTTTACACACCATCAAAGGATGTCATAACTCTTAATTGTTGGGGAGGAAATGTGACCATAAGAACATTAATTAATTACTTTATGATGTTGTCAGTGAAACACCATTGAGCTAACATCTAGCTAGTCAAACTCCACCTATTTCATTTTGTTTCTAAAACTTAAAAAAGCACACCCTTTGAGCTTCCTAATCAGCACAGGTTTCTACTGTTCACCACACTACTGACCAGTTGTAATTCATAGTCAGAACACTTGAGTGGAATAAGATACAGTTCCCAAAATACAACATTATTGGAGAAGTTCTAAATTCAGGCATGAATTTCAAGTGAAAAGAAGACTATAGTAAGATTAATTAAAAACTGTACTATCTGACACTTCACCAAATGGGAAGCTTTAAAAGTGACATTTCTGCAGATTAGTACAAATTATCAATTAGTAACTGGGACCAAAGCCATTGAAATTTGAGTGTTAAAGCAATACTTTGCAAGCGACCTGATGGTAACCCAGAGTTAATGCTTTATTATATAATTTTAAGCAAAGAATACATTTTCTGAAATTTATCACTGTGTTAGAAAGCCTTCAGAAATTCATGACAAATACCAGTTGTTTTCTGATTTGGGTTTTGTTTTTTAACTTAAAGTTTAAGAGGTTAGAAGTATTCTGAATGTGGAGAATGAAAAATACAAACTTAACGTCACTGAATTAATCACTTAACAGAATAAATTGAGAGCTGAACCGTTCTTCAGTTATCTCTAAGTTGAACCACATATATATTTTTAAAAAGTAGTTTTAAAAGTTTGGATTTAAAAAATGCCTTAACATTTGCTAAATTGCTTTTGGTTATGCCTGTGCTTGCCTCTTCCAGCTCATCCCTGCACCACAGGCTGGCCTTCCTCATACATTTAATCTGAAGGGCTGTATTTAATTGCAGTTCCCATTGCTGCGATTTTCTGAAGTCCAGTTGCTGAAATAAGTCTTTTCCAATTTGCCCTATGTATCATCTATGTATGGCTTTGGTTATTATAACTTTGTTAACCCATCGATTTTTACTCAGAGCACAATTTCTCTGACATGCTACATAACTTACCTTTTACCATGAGTATTATTAGTTCATTGTCTCACTCTGTTGCCCAGACTGACTGGAGTGCAATGGCGCAATCTCGGCTCATTGCAACCTCCACCTCCTGGGCTCAAGCGATTCTCCTGCCTCAGCCTCCCAAGTAGCTGGGACCACCGGTGTGTGTCACCATACCTGGCTAATTTTTGTATTTTTAGTAGAGATGAGGTTTCACCATGTTGGCCAGCCTGGTCTTGAATTCCTGCCCTCAAGCGATCACCCACATCAGCCTTCCAAAGTGCTGGGATTATATGCATGAGCCACTGCACCCGGACCCAGGAGATTCTAATAGCAATGCTTTAATGGAATCAGCCATTTTTGTATTTCCATGGCATAAAATTTTATTCTCTAAATCTGACTAATCAAGGACCTGTTTCTATGGTTATTGTAAATCTTATCAAATAAAATCTTTGGGAAAGAGTAGAAAAATGCTGAGATCCTCAGCTGCCATGTTTGCTCACCCAGCTACTTGGCACTGAATAAAGAAGCAGCTGTGTGGCTGCCACCTGCCATATGTTCGCACACCAGCTGCTAGGAGAGAATACGATGAGACACATTGACTCTTCCTCCTCCAAAAGGTTTGGCACAAATAGCAAAAGGGAAGCAGAAAAGGGCTAATTCATAAGGTAAAAAATCTTTAAAGCTACAAAGAGCCAGTGTGCTTCTTTTTTAGATGAGAAACTTCTCAGTACCAAATTGCTAGTCTTTACCAAAGTCTGGGCATGGGCCATGTGTCCTCATGTCCAATCCAGTTTTGATCACCCTTCCCTTCAATTCTTTTTTTCTCCAAAGGGGACTAAACATAACTGATGAAATAGTAAACAATACGGTGAGATTCCTCCAAAATCCTACAACTACTGAAATGTGAGGAAAAAATTGAATTAAAATAATTTCTACCCACCTGCTATTCTGGACTACCAACTCAGAATTAAAGTAGCATTTGTGTCCGTTAACTAGGTCTGTTCATTGGTTTGAAACACTAAATCCTTGTTAGCCTTGTCTCTGAATTTTTTTTTTCACTGAAAGATTTTTGGAATCTACCACCACTGCCCATGAAGTGATTCCTTTGACATTTTCTCAAATTCTACTAAAGTATGGAATAAAAGTAAAATTAAGTTGGTGATTATTTAGGATTTATTAAAGGAATTAAAGGTCACTTTTCCCTGTAGTAAATCAATGTGAAACTAATTTGATTTTAAAGTATGACTATTATAGATAGCTTTAAAGAGCACTTGCAATTATGTATTTATTTCTATAAATTATTTAGTTAGTGTGTCTCCCCTCTAACAGAAGCCCTGGGAGGGTTTTCTTTGCCATTATTCTCCCAACAGTTGTTGGCATAGAGGCATTTGAAAATTATTTCTCATGTGAATGACTGAAAGAGTTAAGTATTTCCAGTAACAACTGTGATATTTTACAGAAATGCTATGGTTAAAATAACTCATTTGTTGTTCTTCCCTTTACTAGTTTCATTTAGTGACCACTAAATGAAAACAGAGACCTCTTGATTTCACTTAGCATTGTTTTTGTCTAACTTTTGACACTCATATGATCATATATACCGTGTTATTCCTTAGTCTTAAAGTTATAGACAACTTTTAAAGAATCCAAGAGGATGATTTATGTCTGGGAACTCTTTTGTGTCACGTATCTTGGTGGCTTAATATAGAAGAGTCAAAGTAATATGGGCTTTTATTATTGGTTTGGTAGGATACCATGACAATCATATTGTAATTCGGTGGTTCTGGGCTGCAGTGGAAAGGTTCAACAATGAACAACGACTAAGGTTGTTACAGGTAAGATGCCATTTTTAATCTTTTAAATATATAAATATGATTATTGTTGGAAAGTATGCTTTTAATAACTGCTAATTATTCTCCATAAATACATACCATGTGTATCTGGAAATGTGGGATACACCATTTCTAGACTCCTAATTGCATGGTTATGTGACTCCATGGCTATTCAGAACATCCCCAGCCAAGTTAAAGCATTTCATCAGAATTGTAGAGAAGTGTCAAGTCCAGACCAAGAATCCCAGTAACAGTATCTGCCTTCAGGACAGTTTGGTCCCTTCAGCAAGAGGCACCCAGCATACCCAAAGTGCAGGCCAGCATCCCTAGCAGCAGAAAGAAATGATCTTCAATCCTTTAAAAAGGGATGCAGTTAGTTGATAAACAGTCCTTTCTTCTCTTTCATCTAACTTTCCACAAATTTGGGAAAACAGTGACATTCAAGAACACTGAGAAAACAAACTTTTTTTTTATTTGTGGTGTTTACGGTCATCTAGGACAATCGCTGGTTGGTTGCAGCTAAAGAAATACCAGACATGAGGAAGCCTCTGGATGCTCAGGCAGAGCCTTATAAGAACTCTGGATCTTAGCTTCTTTGGGTTAAGGGCCTGGGCCTCAAAATTGCAGGCCCAGACATTCTCTTTTTTAAATTCGTCTGACATTGATCAGGGACTGATGCTAAGTAGACTCAGGTTAATTGATATTAATGGAGACTCTTTATTCATCTATAGTGGGAAATGTGCCTGGTTTGAACTTCTGAGCGGGTCAGCTGCATCAGGCGCTTTCTTTTCTACAAACCCTCCATACCCCCTTTCCCTTTATGGTGCACAGCCCTTTCTTAGTATTCTCTTCTGGCTCTGTGTCAGAATTGTGTTGTGGTTATTCCACGCCTATGAAGTTTTGTCTTCTGAACTCTCCTGCCTACTCTTCTTCAGGAGTTCTGCCCGTGAATGACGTGATGCCTTTAATGGCTGTTGGTCTCTGGCTTCACCTTCTCCTTTTGTTTTCTTGGCTTGACAGTTTGTTACAGGCACATCCAGTATTCCCTACGAAGGATTTGCTTCTCTCCGAGGGAGTAACGGCCCAAGAAGATTCTGTGTGGAGAAATGGGGGAAAATCACTGCTCTTCCCAGGTAAAATATAAAATAACATTTCTTTACTGTCACAATGTTTGGGGGAGACATTCGTTTGTGAATATATTGATTAATTACTGCTTTTATGCTAAAGGTTTGGGAGAGTGGAAAAAGCTTTTAGAATGAAATTCCCCCTGATAACCTTTCTAAATGAAAGGGAAAAAAAGATCTCTCTGGTCACACTTAAAATACATGCATCCATATCTTAAAATACAAAACACAACAAAAGCAAAGCATTTGTTAGCATCAGTAAAGCCACATTGGTTATCATGCTTGTGGCTTATGATGTGGCTCTACTCTAGGTGTTTCCAGAAGCTTGGGTTTTAACTTTATAACTATTTAGAATCCCTTCATTAAAAATTATCGTTGTAGTTTCTAAAGAACATTAAATAATGTGGATGTGCTCTAGATCTCTATAGCCTGTATCATACATGTCTTAATTCCATGTTCTCTGCATTGCATTCTCATTCATAGTAAGATCACATATTTTCTTAAGGTAGAACAAGATGCTTTGCCATTGCTGCTAATAAAAGCAAAAGAACTGATCCTTTTGCAGTTCATAAGTGTGATAATTGGGTGTTCATGCGAATATGTGAGATGTTGCCACCTCAAACCTTATTATGACATCTGCACATTACCCATCTGACATGACAAAGAAAAGCAAGGACTAGTAAGGTAGTATTTGTAAAGACAAAAAGTGTTTGAGATTGAATGGAGAAAACTGGAGCTGGAGCAACGGAAAAAAGAGCAGATGAACAAAAGAGGAACGAAGGAAAATTTGTTTTAGAATTCTTTTATCCAATTAGTAGTAATACTGTAGCATTTTTAAGGTAAAAAGGACATGAAATTGCCTCTAACTTTACTAATAATACAACTGTACTCTAGAGAGATTAAATGATGCTAGGTACCCCAAGATGTTAGCCTAAGTTTAAGTATAGATGACTTTGAGAACTCTGTTTTCTTGGTGATATTAGGTGATATTTGTGATATTATACAAGGTGATATTAGGTACGCAAGTGATATTAAGTATCCCAGATGTCATCTGTTTCTTTAAGTACAAGCAACTGAGCCATCTGTTATCAAGGTTTTCTTCGAATTAGCAACTGAAAGATGCCAGTTCTTAAGAACTGTATTGTCAGCATCAACAGATAAGAAAAGTGGGTGCTGAAAATGCAAATGGAGAGAATGATAAATAATGACCCCCTCAAGGGCTTGCCTGAGCCTCCATCACAGCCTATGAATAGGCACTGCATCCAGACACCTAAGTATTACTTGGCACATTTGATTTCCAAATCTGGGAGACTGAGATTTCATTATTTGAAGAACTAGTTCATTTTATTTATGCTTGGATAATGAGTTTTCTCCCCTTCAGCACATAAATTAGCAGATTTAGACTATCTGAATGAGGCTTTTTACTCTACTGAGAAACTCTTTAAGAATTTGCATTGAAGAAGAAAAGGGCAGATTAATGGTCACCTTTTTGTTAAAATCTATTTCTGTCAAGCCATTAAAGTATATGGAGTAAAGTGTAACAATAAGCAGTTATGTCAACTGTTCATATTTAATCACTGTAATTTTCACCAAACCCGGTGGGCAGAGGCAGGTAATTTGATGTAGAGCTGGAGCTTTACCTTCAGAGAGACCTGGGCTCAATGCCACCAATGTTACTTACTTGCAGTGGGGTCTTGGTGAAGTTGCATGATCTTTCTGAGTCTCTGTTTCCTCATCTACCTTGTGATTTTGAAAGTCTGAGGATTATCTGAAATCATTTATGAAAAACACTTAATACTGTCTCTCACCATGAGTAAGCATTTAGTCAGTGATAGCTGCCATTGTGATTTCTGTCACCATCATTTGTAATTCATATCGGGCAGGAGATTTGCATATTGGATAGAGGACAGGGGTAAGAGTTAGAAGACCTAGGTTCTAGTCCCACCTCTGCCACCAGCTAACTTTAGGACCTTGAAGATCAATTCATCTTTGAGCCTTGGTTTTCTCATACGTAACAGGCCAGGAGGAGGTGATATATTAGGTTGGGTTGAGTAAGAAGTAACACCGAAGAGTTGCTGAAAAATCTTGAGGGTCAGGCTGGATTTGCATTTCTACTTCCCCAGAGCTCCAGGAAGTTCATGTGCTAACTCATTGTAAATGGTGGTGTTCTTCATTATTGTTGCATACGCACAGTTGGGTAACTGGCACTGTGCTTTCTTCCTCTCTTCACTATGACCTAAGGTTGCTTCTACATTCCTAGTTTTACCCAGGTTATAAAACAGCACAAATAAAGATGGTCTGAGGCACATTGAGAAAGCAGCCTCTTTTCACACCCTCTCTGTAACAAGTGCCATCTTTTGGGGTCTGGTGAGGATAAAGAGTTTCTTGGCTTTTCTGCTTTAGAGTTGCAGCCACCTTATGTAACCAAGGTAACACACATGAGCACAGATCTAAGCCCTGTGACACAATAGTTACATCATCCTAGGCAAGACCCTAAATCCATCCCTCTAAGGTAGGAGTAACAATGTTCAGAGTATTTTTGACAATTGTAAGATAATGGATATGAAAGTCTTAGGAATACTGTGTTTACTTTGTTCTTTTTAAACTTTTTATCCTGAGTCTTTAGTAAGCCACTGTACTAAACTATTAGTTTAATTTAACTGTTAACATTGGCTTCGCAAAGAAAAAAAGCACATTTGGAGGGGAAAAAAATGAAAAGAACTTCACTGCATGAAAGTATAGTTATATGAGAAGCAACTTCTTCACTGACAACATTGTCATCACCCTTAATGAAATGTGGGGTATTACTTAGGTTTAAAAAAAGATCTGTAAAATTAGTTCTGGTCTTAAGAGATTCCTTTATATTATCGAGTCCATTTCTCTTACCATCAGAACAGATACACTGAAGTCATTTTTCTGCTATTTGTTGATAGGTACAAGTTGCACAACTGAAGAGCTGGTCTGTCTCAGGCTAGTCAGCCCCATTGTATTTCTTTTTCCTATGGATGAAATGATGTTTAACCTTTAAATTGTGACATTGCACAAAAAATAACAGATGCTGGTAAGGTTGCAGAGAAAAATGAATGCTTACACACTATTGGTGGCAGTGTAAATTATTTCCACCAGTGTGGAAGACAGTGTGGCAATTCCTCAAAGACCTAAAAACAGAAATACCATTTGACCCAGCAATCTAATTACTGGGTATATACCCAAGGGAATATAAGCCATTCTATTATAAGACACATGCACGTGCATCTTTATTGCAGCGCTATTCATAATAGGAAGGACATAGAATCAACCTAAATGTCCATTAATGGTAGACAGGATAAAGAAAATATGGTATATGTACACCATGGAATACCATGCAACCATAAAAAAGAATGAGAACATGTCATTTGCAGGAATATGGATTAAGCTGGAGGCCATTATCCTTAGCAAACTGACATAGGAACAGAAAACCAAATACTCTATGTTCTCACTTAAAAGTGGGAGCTAAATGATGAGAACACAAGGACACATAGAGGGGGAATAACACTCACTGGGGCCTAATGGAAGGTGAAGAGTTGGAGAATGGAGAGGACCAGTAAAAGTAACTAATGGGTACTAGGCTTAATACCTGAGTGATAATATAATCTGTAAAACAAACCCCCATCACACAAGTTTACTTATATAACAAACTTGCACATGTACCCCTGAACTTAAAATAAAAAACATTACATTGTACACACTGGGAAAAAAATGGATAGATGTCCTTCTTACTTAAAAAATTACGCGATTCATGCCTGTAATCCCAGAACTTTGGGAGGCCAAGGCAGGTGGATTGCTGAGATCAGGAGTTTGAGACCAGCCTGGCTAACATGGTCTCCTGTCTCTACTGAAAATACAAAAATTACCCAGGCATGGTGGCACATGCCTGTAGTCCCAGCTACTCAGGAGACAGGAAAATCGCTTGAACGCAGGAGGCAGACATTGCAACAGTGAGCTGAGATCATGACACTGCACTCCAGACTGGGCAACAGAGCAAGACTTCATCTCCAAAAAAAAAAAAAAAAAAAAGAATCCTCTAAGAAATCTGAAATCTGGCATCATCTTGTGTTGGGCATGGGAGTTTCTACCCTGGGAGTCGGAGGGGCTGTAAAGGATGAGGGCAGTCCCGGCAACCAGAGTGATGAGGGAGAAAATCTTAAGTCTTTCTAGACAAGGATGATGGAGGGCCTTTCAATTTTCAAGCAGGCAAATGTGAGTCTCATTCTTTTCTCAGATTTCCTACTCTCACTTTGCAGTAGCAGTGGATAGTGCTGCTCACAGTGTGAGCCAAGGAGTATATAAAAGTATATATGATTGTCTCTGAAGCCAGTGCAAGTTGAATCCATGGCTCTTTTTATCCTTGTGGTTATAAAATGACTAGAGACCCAGATGATAAATGATGATGTAGACAGAAGGATGTCTCCATGGAGATTCCTGAGCACATGACTGCACTTCCTCTGCTTCGCGGTTGGTGGTTAGCTCTGTATTTTGCATTTCTGTGGAAGACTTCATACCCCTGGTGTTCTGATGGACTTTATGAAAAGAGAATAAATTCACTTTATGGCAGTTGCTCTCAAACAGTCCAAAAAATGGGCTGCTAAGATGCCAGCCTGGAAACTGCAGAGCGGTCCTGTCTCCCGCCATGGTATGAGTTTCTGTGTTCATCCCCAAGGCCCTTGCCAAGTTGGGTGATGGGACAGAGGACTTGAGAGCTGCAATTGCCATGGGGGTATGTTGGTTTTTGCCAAAGGGAAAATCATTAATTTTTGAAAATGGCTGTGTCTGGAGATTATTATGAATGAAAGCTAACTGAAATTAAGAAATAAAATGTAAGAGTTAGTTATGAAATAGATGTTTTATGGAGACAGTTAATCTAATGGAATAGAACTTTAAAAGATAAAATTATTTTTTAAAGACATGACAACTTGTTTTTTTTTTTTCAAATTCTGCTTTTTGGTAGGGCACAGTAGCTTACACCTGTAATCCCAGCATTTTGGGAGGCTAAGGCAGGAAGATCACTTAAGGTCAGGAGTTTGAGACTCCCCTAGCCAATATGGTGAAACTCCATCTCTACTAAAAAATACAAAAATTAGCCAGGCATGATGGTGTGTACCTGTTATCCCAGCTGCCCGGGAGGTTGAGGCAGGAGAATTGCAGAGGTTGCAGTCAGCTGAGATTGCACCACTGCACTCCAGCCTGGGCAGCGGAGCAAGACTCCATCTCAAAAAAAAAAAAAAAAAAAATCATAGAAAGAAAATTTTTCAAAAACATTGGTAAGAAATATATGTATATATTAAACATATAGTAGAATACCTACATATGTATCAATCCAAAGTCCACTACTAGCTGGGCATGGTGGTACATACTTGTAGTCCCAGGTACAAGGCCGAGGCTTGAGCATGGGAATTTGAGTCCAACCTGGGCAACATAGAGATCCCATCTCTGAAGAAAAAAGCAGTCAACTACGAAGATAAGCTCTGTTAACATGTTAGAGTATGTGGTTTCACTCATTTCTTCAGATACACATACACATATACACACACATATTTTAAAACAACATTCTGTTTATCACACAGAACATCTTTCCATGTCGTTAAATGTCATCAATAATTCAATTTTCCCTCCTCTAT